CAGTGCCGTCGACTGTATTCCCTGTGCTGTACCTTTCATCCCCAGCTCTTATTCATTTCATAACTAAAAACCTCCCACTCCCTTATACCCAGTTGCCCATCCCCCTGCTTCCCTTCCCTCTGGCTACCATCACTTCTCTGTATTCACAGGTCTGCTTTTGCTTTTTGTTTGTTTTAGATTGCACTTAGTGAAATCACATGGTACTTGTCTTTCTGGGTATGACTTATTTCACTTAGCATGATACCCTCTGTTTTTCGGATGGCAGGATCTCATTCTTCTTTGTGACTGTGTAATATGTAATATTCCAGTGTGTGTGTGTGTACATGTGTCTATATATGTGTGTACGTATATATATATATATACACACACGTACACACACACACACACATATATATATATATATACACACATGTACACACACACACACACACACACCGGAATATTATGTGTATATATATATGTGTACGTATATATATATACACACACACGTACACACACACACATATATATGCACATGTACACGTATATATATATACACACACACACGTAAACACACACACACACATATATATATCACATCTTATGTATTGTGGGACACTTAGGTTGCTTCCATTATCTTCGCTATTGTTAATGCTACAGTGAATTTGGGGGTACAGATATCTTTGTTTTGTTTTTTCTTTTTTATCATTTTCTTTTTTCATCATAATTATACTCTTTAATTCTCATGCCCTGTTTCCCCCATCCCCCACCCACTCTGTTAACCATCAGTTCTCTATAGTTAAGAGTCTATTTCTTGATTTCTTTCTTTTTTTCTCCTTGTTTTGTTTCTTTGTTTTTCATTATTTTGTTTGTTAAATTTCACAGATAAGTGAGATCATATGATAGTCGTCTTTCTCTGAATTATTTCGCTTAGCATTACACTTTCAGCTCTATCCATGTTGTTGCAAATGTCAAGATTTTACTTTTTTATGGCTGAATAGTATTCTGTGTGTGTGTGTGTATCCTACATCTTTATCCATTCATGTATTGATGGACATTTGAGCTGCTTCCGTATCTTAGCTATTGTAAATAATGCTTCAGTAAACATAGGGGTCCATATATCCCTTTAAATTAGGCTTTTTGTATTTTGGGGGGTAGATACCCAGGAGTGTGATTCCTGGGTCCTAGGGTAGTTCTATTTTTAACTTTTTGAGAAAGCTCCACTGTTTTCTAGAGTGGCTCCGCCAGTTTGCATTCCCACCAACAGTAAAAGAGGGTTCTTTTTTCTCCACATTCTCATCAGTACTTGTTATTTCTTGTGTTTTTGATTTTAGCCATTCTGGTAGGTGTGAGGTGATACCTCATTGTGATTTCGATTTGTGTTTCTCTGATGATGAGTGATGTTGAGCATCTTCGTGTGTGTGTTAGCCATCTGTCTTCTTTGCAGGTATGTCTGTTCACATCTTCTGCCCATGTTTTAATTGGATTATGTGTTTTTTTGGGTGTTGAGTTGTATCAGTTCTTTATATGTTTTGGGTACTAATCAGATATGTCATTTGCCTATATCTTCTCCTATTCAATAGGTTGGTTGCCTTTGAGTTTTGTTGATCATTCCCTTCACTGTGCGGAAGCTTATTATTTTGATGTAGTCCGAATAATTTATTTTTGCTTTTATTTCCCTTGCCTCAGGAGACATACCTAGAAAAATGTTGCTATGGCTGATGTCAGATAGATGACT